AAACCCCAGCCCGGTTGCCCTTGCATTGCTGAGAGTCCTTGGTCACCTGTTTGGTACCTGTGAGCTCTTGTTAGCAGATAAGAAGTTGAAGGTGCAGAAATGCATGCCCAATAATATAAAATTGAAAGCATTGTGCCCATTAATTTATTTTTCCTCCATCAGTTGTGAAAAGAGGGATGTAGAGGCAGAGAGATTCCCCTGGGAATGAATGGGGCATGGCCCTGGGCTTGTAGCACTCAAGGTTGGAAAATGGGGTCCGGGCCTGTGCCTTTCCCAAAATAGGCAACTGGGGAAAAACAAGCTAAGTGACTTAGGTAGACTGAGAAAGAAATGGAGAGATCTTGAGAGGTCTCCTGGAGGAGTGGCTTTGGGACCAGGCCAATTATTTCTCATAACTCTGTTGTTTATAGTTCGCAAAGAGGATTTACAAACATTATGTCCTTGGATTGTCAGGACCCAGGTAGACAGGTGGCTTCATCCCCATTTTACAGAGATGAGGGAACTAAGGCTCAGAGAGGTGAAGGCTCCCATAAAGAAGGTCCCATGAAGAAGTCACCTGATTTCTGATTAAATCTGGACTTGATTGGAAGTCTTTTCCATTCCAACACAGGATAGGAGAGAGGGATGCCTGATGGGGACATTTGCAGGAGCTGAGACATGGAGGTAGAGCAGGGCAGGTGGCCTGTGCCCCAAGGCAGCAGGGCCAGCAAGTGGACCAGGCCTCTGTGGACAGTAGCATGATGTGAGCAGTGACTTGTTGGTGGTAATCACTTGATCACTTGGGTAATTAGCCACGGGGAGTCATTATGGGACTTGTCTCACTTGGGCTGATGATTAAAGGGAGCTGGCTGCCCAGTGGCAATGGAGGCCTGCTGATGGCTGACAGCAGGGCCTGGCAGGCTTCAGAACTTAAGTTTTTCTGGGCTTAAAAACAGCCCCTAGCCATGGCTGAGGGCTCTCCTGGTACCTACGGTCCGGGCCTGGCCCTCATGTTCTCATCCAGAACAAGGTCCTAGGTGGCAATACAACTGCAGAGAACAGGCCCACCTAGGGATAGCAGGCAAGGGTTCAAGGGATAGGGCATTCATATGGGACGTTTAAACACTCATCCCATGGTCAGTGAGGACAGGGGGTAAAACCTCTACCCCACAGAGCCAGTAAGAGATAGAGACATAGTTTAGGAATGGCCAAGGTGCCTCATGGTGTGCCAAACTCTGGTCTTAGATGCTACCAGCTGACCAGTAGACACCCTCTCATCCACCCACTGCCTGTCAGGGAAAGGGCTAGCTTCCTTTTTGCCCTCAGGGGGACTGATATCTTTCTGTGGGATTAGACAAGGTGACAGAACCCAAACAAATGACAAATATGGATTAAATTATAAAAAGTAATTGTGAAGAAACAATCAGGAGGGAGGAAGGGAGGGAAGGAGATTGAGAGAGAGAGAGAACCTGTTTATGTGGGATAGGTAGGGACGTCTTCTCTGAGGAGACCACCTTGTTAAATAGATACGAGAACAATGTGAAGGTACCAGCTACGTGAAGGTGGGTGCAGGAGGCGAAATGAAGAGTGTACCAGGCGTTGGGTACAATGTGTGCAAGGGCCCTGTGGTGGGAAGGACCTTGACATACTCACAGGGTGGAAAGGAGACAGATACAGGTGAACCTCAGCAAGCAAGGCAGATGAGTGGTAACTGCTAAGTGTGGACGGAGGGCAGGGCTAGTCTCACAGGCTAAAGTAGGTCTTTTGGACGTAGCGGTGGAAAGCCCTGGGAGGCTTTGGGGCAGGGGTGTGCCATGACTAGAAGCCCGTTTTCTTCATGCTCTTCTGGGGGCGGTCTCTTCTGTGCATGACTCCCACCTGAATTTCCAAACAGCAGAAACTGGCATACCTGGTTTGTGGCCTAGCTCTGCCTTTCACTAAGAGACCTGGAAGTTTCCAGTTTGCTCTTTGTCTACGGGGAACACCACGGTCTACCCCGAGGGATGGTGCAAGGGTTAGAGGAGATTTCGTGCGTGTGCGCCCACGCCCACACCCGCACCAGCCAGGCACAAGGCAGACTCTCAAATGGTAGGTTTTAAATCTTCCTCCACTATAGAGAGTCCTTGAAATCTCCGCTCTTCCTCTTCCTCAGGAGTCAAGAAGTAGAGGGAGGCTGGAGTCAACAAGAAACCTGGTTTCTGAGTTTTAAAATATTCAAATAAATTGAGAGATAGCACATGTCCCAGTTGGGAAAATGACATAGATATTTGATCTATTTAAATTAATTCATAAGTTTAATGCAATTCCGCGCAAAAACCTCAATTTTTTTTTTTTTAGAATTAAAAATGTCAGTAACAACAGCTGACATTTACTGAACATTTACTATGTGTCTAGCATTGAGCTTGTGAGGCAGGTGTTATTACTCTTATCCCCATTTTATATATCCCTCAGGCCTAGATGGGATAAGTAACTTAACAAGGTCATGGGGCTGGTAAGCGTTGGACCTGGATGGTCCCATCTTCAAAGCCAGCATTCTTAATCCTTGTATGTTAACTAGGATGTGTATGGACACAGAAACTGGTGTGGTTACCAAGTGATATTCTGAATAACAGGAAACTCTGTGAAAGGCAAGATAGCCCTGTTAGATGTTAGAACCCATTCTAAAGAACCAATATTTAGATCCATATGGTATCTGCTCAAATTGAGGTCTGTGAAAAGAAATGGAGAAACAGATCGAGCCGAATCAAAAGCCTACTGTAAAAATAGATTTTACTATACAAAGGGTAAGGGAAAAATTATTTAATAAATGATGATTGCATAAGCAATAAAAACTGGTGATGCCGGTGGTGAGTTAAGTCCATATTTTATTCCACACAGGAAAAAAACTTGGGATGGATTATCATCAAAGAATTAAATATAAAATGAAATTTTAGAAAACTAGCAGAAAACAGACCATCAGATGGGTGGAAGAAAGCTCATTTTGTCAGTATTCAAGCAATAAAATCACAAAGGACTAGAATGACAGATTGAACATTAAAGTAAAACAAAAAAGAACAACAGAGTGGGAAATATTTGCATCATTGATGACACAGGAATAATACTGATAATATTAAAAAAATGCTTATTCAATGTTAGAAGAGCTTCAGAACCCCAGCAGATGAATGGATATGAACAACCATTCACAGAAAGGGGAATACAGACAGTAAATGATGAAAAAACATTCATTTTTAAAGTCATCTAAGAAAGGCTACAGTAACCTTGAACTACTGATATACCAGTAAAGTAGAAGGGGGAAAAAAGAGATGCTTAGAGATGTGTATCATACTCCTTACGCTCATTACTGGGAGGCAGCGGAGTGAGCCGGGTAGTGCTTTGGGGAGCTCCTACGGCACTGTGGAGCAAGACCCCTCTGCCTTCCACCTGGTAACTCAAATGCCAGGAATTTGTCCCCAGTGCAGAATTAAAGGACATATTAGCAAACAATGGTAAAGAACCCAAATATACCAAATTAGGAGACTGAGTAAATGCATGAGGATACCTGCACACCTTCAGAATGAATCATGTGAATCGAAGAAAATGTGAAGTGATAATAGCAAACACAAGAGAAAAATGTGTGATCGGTTGCAACTATGTAAAGACATGTACATAGGTGGAAGGTTTTATGGGTTCCCTAGTATCACGGATACTTATTTGTACATTTTTCTTTCTCTGGTTGTCATGTTGTCTTTTAAATGGTGGTCACAAAAAATTTCAAATTCAGCCAGCAGCGTGACTTTGGGCAAGTTTGTCTGTAAAGTGGGGGAATATTTCTCAGCGCGGTGGTGAGGTCAGCGGAAAGTGGCCTGAGCCCGCGTTTGGCACCTCAGACCTCGTTCTTGCAGTGGGGCGCCTCCTTTCTTAAAGGCAGGAGTCATCAGCGCCCAGTGCGAGACCTTCTCCCCCGGCCCAGGAGTCGGGGCACTCCTGGGTCTCGGCTGCATGAGGACTCCCTTCCGGAGGGAACTTCCCGTAGCAGGAGGGGAGGAGGGGGGTGTCCCACGGGCATCTGCGCTCGCAGGGGAAGGGGCGAGCTCGGAGAACGTAACCGCTTGTGGGCACCTCGGGTTGCGGGGAATCCTTGCAGTCACCTTGGAACTTCTGTTCCGACTCCGGGCCCCCGGCTCTGCTGCCGGGATTCGGCAGCCGTCTTACGCCCCCTCGCTGGGGCCCCGAGCGGCAGGAAAACTCGGATTTACAGGGCGCCTCCCGCGGAGGCCTGGAGACACCCAGTGCGCCTGGGGGCCCGAGGCTGACTTCGTAGACACCGGGCACTGGGGTGCCCTTCCAGGTCTCGAAGGACGCACCAGATCCCCGACGTGGGCCAGGAGGGTGGACGCAGCCCTCTCCGGCGGCGACACGCGCCCATCTGGGCTCAGCCGCCGTTCTGTCCTTTCCTCGGCTAATGCCATCTTGCCCGGGGCGGTCACGTGCGGACGACAGCGGCGCGCTTCGCCCCGGCCCGGGAGCCAGGACCCCCCCGCGGACGCCACTGGGTTCCGTACGGCTCCGTGCACGACCCGAGGTGAGGCGCGAGGGCCCTTCCCTCGTGGGTCGGGTAAGGGACGGGGTGGGCGCTGGGTCCCTGGGGCGCGTCTCCCTGTCGGGGCCCATCCGCACGGGGCTGCCGCGCCGTCGGGGGCCGGGGCGCCGCCGCGTGCCCTGCGCCACGGCCTCGGGGATGTCCGCGGCAAGTTGTGGCTCGGGGCACGAGGGGCGGGGTGGCGGGCGGCGCCGACCCCTCCCTCGGCCCCTCACTGCCCGAACACCTCGCAGCCCGCGCGGCCCCAGCCGGGGCTGGAAGGCTCGCGGGTCGGCTCGGGAGGCCCGGCCCGGGGGCGCCACGCGCGCGGCGCGAGGGGCGCGGGCTGCCGGGAGGAGCGCGGATGGGGGGGGGCGCGGGCGCATGCGCCCTGCACCCGTGCCATATTGGAATGAGTCGGAGCGCGGAGCGCCGCCGCCGCCGCCGCCTCCGCCGGAGCGCGGGTGGAGGGGGGCGGGGAGAGCTGCCGGCCGCCCCGCTCCGCCGAGCCCAGCAGGAAGGAGGGCGCGAGCGGCCGAGCGCGGGTGGCGCGAGCGGAAAAAGCGCCCGCGCGGGGAAGCGAAAAGAAGGAAAGAAAGAAAGAAGACGAGCGCGACAAGGGGAAAAGCCAGCGATCGAGCGAGGGCGCGCGCGAAAACTCCCGGCAGGTAAAAAAGCGGGGCCGCCAGCTGGGCCTTCCCGCGCGGCGGCCTGAAGGGGCGGCGGCGGCGCCGGGGCGGGGGACCGCGCGGCGCCCCCCTCCAGGCGGCCGCGCAACTTTGCCAACGAAAAACCGCCGGGAGCCGGCGGGCGGCGGGCGCGCGGGCTGAGGCGCCAACGGGCGGCGGCGGCACGTTGGGGGCGGGGGCGGGCGGGGGGAGCGCGGCGCCCGCGCGCGGCCTCGCGCGGCCCCGCGCGCCGGCCGGCCGGGCTGCAGGAGCGCGCCTGGGCGCCTCGCCGCGGCAGCGAGCGGCGGCGGCCGGCGACCCCGGGCGGGCGGGCGGCGCGGCGCGCGGCAGCCCCGGGGGCGTGAAAGGAAAGTGGCCGGGCGGCGGTACCGGCGGGCGCCCAAGTTCCCCGGCGCGCGCCCCTCCCCGCGCGTCCCGCGCTCCCGCCCGCCGAGCCCCCGCGGACCCGCCCCCCGGGCTCGCTCCGGGGCCGGGGCGCGAACCCGCAGCGGGGGCCGGGGGGCGCGCTGGAACTTCGGAGGGCCGAGGTGGCCGCTGCGCTGTTGCAGAGCGTCTAGCGGCCGCCGCAACCGGTTGCTTCGGGCCAGCGTGGTGGAGTGCGCCGGGCCTCCCCGGCGCCGCGCGCGAGCGGGCAGTGGGCTCGCCCGGCGCCCGCCGCCCGACCCCGGCCGGACCCGCTCGCTCGGGGCCGCGACCTGCGCTCGGGAGGGCCGTGACCGTTTCGATTTCTGTTCTTAAAGTCTCGTTTTAAACCGTGGAGAGGAGGCTGTGGAGAGGCGAGGAGAGAGTCCTGGGAAGCAAGGCCTGCTCGGGTGGGGAGCAGGAACGCCTTGTGAGAACAGAAATAAATTCCCGCGGAAAGGATGTATGTTAAGTTTTTAGCGAGATGTCAGCTGTTCACTGGGGTCTGAAACTAAGCCGCAAGGCACAGGTCACCTGCAAGTCTGGTTATGTGTAAGAGAGTTGGGTAGGACACCCCGGGCAGAGACAGGATTTCTGTTTAGTGGGGGTTATTCCCGGCGGGCCGCTCAGAGCCGTGCTAGTGAACAGCCCCAAGCGATGTTTTCATGAGTCCTACTTAGTGACACAGTTTTGAGAACCAAGTAACCATCAAAGAGGTTTGAAAGGAAATAAGATGGATTTTGCCAATCCCTGCATATGCGTTTTCCTCCTGAACCACATTTTAAAGATGTCACACTTGATTGCATCGCAAGAAAAATGCCTGTCTGAAAATACAATTGATCATTTGCCAGTTGTCTCGAGATGAGGAAGATGAGTGTGTCTTTATGTGTGTACACTTTGGGGCCTGTTGGCCTGGTATTTTGAGGAGTGTGTTGAGTCCTTCTAGGCCATAGGTAGATCCAGAGTTCATATTTGTTTACAGTGTCTCAAAAGTAACGGCCTTGTGGAAACGGGAGTGGCTCAAGATCAGGAAACAGTTCTGTTACTACTGTTGTCATTGACTAGCTGCCTTATCTCGGTATGGTTCTTACCATAGATTTGGTTTTCCTTATTTGCAAAATCAGAGAATGAATGGATCATCTTTCCGCATGCTTTCAGATGTGAATTTGGCAACTTTCTAAAATGAGAGATTAAAAAAATCAGTCTGTATTTTGACAGGTTCTGCATAAAAGTGCTCACAATAAATGTACATCTTTATTAAAATACATTTGGAGGGGCGCCTGGGTGGCTCAGTAGTTAAGCGTCTGCCTTCGGCTCAGGTCATGATCCCAGCGTCCTGGGATCGAGCCCCGAATCGGGCTCCCTGCTCAGCAGGAAGCCTGCTTCTCCCTCTCAAACTCCCCCTGCTTGTGTTCCCTCTCTCACTGTGTCTCTCTCTGTCAAATAAATAAATTAAAAAATTAAAAAAAAAAATACATTTGGAAAAAAATCTTAGTTGCTACATCTAATGTTATTTTGTATCACTTGTTTGAACAAAGACATTTACAAATGTATTTCAATGTGTTTTATATTTATTTTTTTAATTGAGGTGTAATTTACAGGAAGACCTTAAATGACATATATGCCCTGATAACCACACTCAGATCAAGATGCACAGCATTTTCAGCCTCCCAAAGGGCTCCCTTTACATTTCTCTCGTTCAGTAGACACCTTTCCCCTCCCCAAGGTGACCACTTCTGGCACCACTAGTGAATTTTGCTTTATAACAGGACAGCTTTTTGAGGGTGAGGGGCAATATTAAGCTGAAGGACAACAGGTGTGTAAACCTGGAGTTATGGTCATTTTTGCTGTGACTCTAAATGCTTTTATAACAGCTTTTATGGTTTTTACCACCTAGAATTCTAAGACTTCTTAGCCAGAAGGCCACTTGTCAGCTGAGGCAAGGCTTTGCAGGTTTGGATCTGTGGTTGTTGGGCATCCTTGTCACAGGCCCAGTATCCATGTGTTACTTCCCATTTTTGGAATACTGGTGTATTTCCAGACAGTAGGTTTGGAGGATGGATCATGAACTTTCCCAACAAGTCAGTGTTTAAGGTGTTAGTAGATGAATCAGTTCCTTAAAGCCTAGAATTTGCTGAGAAAATTGAATGAAAATTGATTTTCTAAAGTTCAGTGAATTAAAGAATGTGGGCATAAAGCTTTAACAACCTTTTAAATGACAGCAATTAACTTGATTTATATATGCAGGATATTTGCCTGTTTTTTTTTTTTTTAAGATTTTATTTATTTATTTGAGAGAGAGAGAGAAACAGCATGGAGAGGGAGAGAGGGTCAGAGGGAGAAGCAGGCTCCCCACTGAGCCTGGAGCCTGATGTGGGACTCGATCCCAGGACTCCGGGACCATGACCTGAGCTGAAGGCAGTCGCTTAACCAACTGAGCCACCCAGGCGCCCTATTTGCCTGGTTTATCAAGTCATTAAAACTGCAGTGATGAAAGCAAAAACAAAAGGTAACTAAAAATTGTCAGGTGTGATTAAATTTTTTTTTAATTTCAACATGATTAGGATACCTTTTTGTATTAGCCCTCTAGGAAGTTGGGTTTTTTCTATTCTCCACTGAAGCAAGTACTTCGAATAATTTGCTTATTCTTCCCAAATACCTTTTAATGTAGTCCTGTGTATTTTCTTGTTTCTGCTCCTAAAGGAGAGGAGTTAGAAGTTGTCAGTGAATTCTTGATAATTCTTCACAATGGCCTGTGTTTTTTACTGCAAGGACATCTGTGTGATGCAAAGTTGGAAACTGTCTAAGGCCTGTGGTAGAGATTTATGGGGGCATAGTCCACAAAGTTCAAAGATTTTCTTTTGTGAAGTGGATTCTGCTGAATAATTCTGTTTTCTGTGATTAAGCCAGTCAATTGGCTAGCCAACAGCTAAGCTGGATTTGGTTACTGTACTCCAAGATTCACAGCATCATTAGCTAAGACAGTAATCCATCACTTAGTTATAATTGATCCATTGGTTGTATGTGTGTGCATCTTTTAGATTTCTTAGCTTTTGCATTATCAGATATTTCACTTAAAATTTATTAGATTTTGAAAGATGCAATTAAAGGTGCAAAATGAGAAACAAAATGCATATAAAAGGGCATTTCCTCTTTTGATATTTGTTTCTTTGAAAGTTTTGATTTTTCTCTTTAAAAAGGCTTTTCCTGTCCGTAACCTTGCTGCTTCTTTCTGTAGGGTACTTTTGCTTTCACAGTGGTAACTGGACTGGGCTTAGCTACAGAATGAGGGTGTGGATGCAGACATCATTTGACTCTGAAGTCTATAGAACAGGTGAACTGTCTCAACTTCACTGACCTTTTTGTTAAAACTTCATGTTATGTTCATGTTAAATAAATGAATACAATCCAGAAAGACCATTATGTAGGCAGGTATTTTGAATGCCAAATATTTTTATATTAAAGATTTTCTATCTTATGATTTCCTATAACTTTGTTATTGCAGGGTAGTTTTCTTTTAGTAAATAGTATTTGTTATCTAACTGGGATGTTTTGTAATTGAAAAAAATATTTCTCCTTATACATAGTTGTTAAATAGGATGAAAGTCTCTGGGGATTTTGGTTACTGGGGGGATTTTGGACCATTAGACTTTAGGGAGCGGGATTTTGATATGACTCTTTCTTCAAATGGTACTAGCCCCATTGGAAAATTATTTAAAATAAAAAGGATGTGGTCAGGTTGTTGCAAGTTCATTTTTAAATTTTACAAAAGTGGGAAAGAGGATGAGAACAGAGGCAAGTTATTAATAGAAAAACTGTGACTTCACTGCGGAAGTTTTAACAAGTTTGAATGTAAACCTTTAACTCCGGGGCACCTGAAAATTTGTATATAACTAATTTCTAGTCTCTTATCCAAGAGGATGTTTTTAACCTTATTCAGCTCTCTTAATCTTTAGATGATCACTCAAGGACATAATTAAAAAACAAAAGATGTAGACTGTATGTTGTGCTACAAGATAGTAAGTTTCGAACTTTGTGGTTTCAGAGTTGGTAACTTCAGAGTCCAGCATTTCGCTGTGCGGGGAGAGGCTAGGAGGCAGCATTTCTCATGGTGTGCAGTGCTGCATGCAGGTTCCTTTTTGACATTTTTGCTTAATTGAAAGAAAGGTTAGTTGCTAAACTGGTTTGGGGTGGATAGGGCAGTTGAGAGTACCTATTTGGTCTGGGACGGACATTTGGAGAGGGTCTTCGATGAGGAAGGGAAGGGAGTTTGTCACAGTTGCAAGTGCAGGGCAGTCATGTATTTGGAATGACACGGGATGGGTGGAGAAATTGAGCAATTATTAAAATACCTCAAGAGTTTTGCCTGCTGACATTCAATTTAAAGTGTTAACCAACAAGTATTTTGATTTGAATTCCACATTATTATTCTTTTTACCCTGACTAGTTTTTAAAAAATATTTGAGGAGCTGCTGTGTAATATCTGCTCAGTGGTAAAGCTACCTGTGAGTTGCTGCTAGTTTTTCATTCTTTTCACATTAATTTGCTGCCCAGATTAGAGTGCTTTCTGGTCTCAG